TTAATAAGAACATAGCAACTCTCACCGTTCAAGGTTATTCCTTTGAGCGCAGCGAGGACAGAATGAGTGCTAAAGGCCATATATAAGCAAGAGCCAACGTGACTCACACACATCTGAAATAGAGCAAATATTCAGAAATTGATGTCAGTGCTGTCTCTACCAAAAAGTGACATCAGCAAACATTAGAAGGAAACGTCAGAGGAATTGGTGCAGCACCAGACCACCGACCACGCCTGAAAATCCTCCCCTAATAACCTGGAGTCTAACATGGATATTTTGCTCTTTGCAGGTCTTCATGATGCCCATAGAATGAAACTTTTTTTTCCTCCCCCCCTTACAGTTCATGTGGGGAAAGCAATTAGTTAGCTGACAAACCTACCATAAACAGCTGCTGCAAAGCTTGCAAGAGTCAAGGACACTCTGACTTCAGATGAAGCCAAAGTATGGTTTAATACAACTGGTGTGAATACTTAATTGCTTTCAACTGAATTCAAGTTTAGTCCGCTCCAAGAAATCTATCAAAAATTATCCATTCATGCCGCATGGCTTACCTCCAGCCTTTAAGATTTAAAACTGAAGTTTCTGCTGAGAAATCCAGAGCATATGTCAGTGGAACAGAGAGAAAAGAACAGAAAAGTGAAATTTAATTAATATATTCAACACAGATTGTTTGGTTTATCTCGTAGGACTAAAACAGCTCTAAGTGCACAACAAGGACCCGCTTGATAGGAAGATGACTACAGGATTCCTGTGTCTTCACAGCAGCTAGCAGGGTCTTCGATCTCCACAAAGCAGCATAAGGCTTGTTTTTCCTGGGAGTCCCTAACAGCTTTTTCAGCAGACTGGAAAGGAATGCAGACATCCTAGTTCCTTCCACCAGAGCTTCATAAACAGCAACAATAGCCAAGGTAAGGGGAAACACTGTAAGTAAACTGGACAGTCTTTGGAAGGCTGTAGACTCCTGTTCTCCCCCAGCTGACAACAGACCAGTTTCCCCCCATCCTCTGCATGTCCACAGCACTACCAAACCCTAGCACAGGGAGCGAGCGCTCTGTGGCCCCAGTGAGTTCAAATACCAGTTATCCATTGTGCATCTCTCCCGCAACAGGATTCTGAGAAGTATCCATCAATAACGTATTTAGGCAGGAGCAGCCACCACAATGACTTCTGTTGAATCTCTTATCTGAATTTCACTGGTTTGGTAACTGGTCAGCATGACTTGCAAGCAACAAGCAAGCAGCACAACAACAGATGAAAAGATGTAAATGAAACTCACTGAACTCCGCACAAAGCCAGATACGTTTGAGGCACTGGCATGGCTTTTAGTCATAGAACTACTTGACTGGATTTCTTTTTTTGAATAAAACACCAGAAGCCAAGACTGAGAGCAAAAGCCTATCACCTCTTTCAGTTCTGCTAGGCTTTAGTCAAGAACACCATTCACTCCTGATGGGACAATCCTGAACGCATACTGAAGAAGTTGTTTCACACCCTACGTGTTTAAGAAGCATCTTGTCACTATGGGCTCAGGAAAGCAGAGCAGAGGGAAAAAGGTCAACCCAGGTGCAAAGTGAAAACAACAGGAGCGTGCAGCAGAGGCCAGAGGAACAACGCAAATACAGAAACTGCAGCAGAAATGCATGAACAATTAATTTACAAACATTAACTTTATTTGAAAGTTCAACAATTGGGAGAAAATACATTGTGATTGGTTTAGCTTTTAAAAGATCCCCAAATAAATTACATCAAAAGGCTTGCACAGTTCTAAATATTAAAAAGATCATAAAAATGAATGGTGCTCTCATATGCCAAGATTAATCCTTTTCCATTTCGACTATATTAGAAGTTGCTTGTGCAGGGATTATTTTTCCAGCTATGCAGAAAACAATACAGTTTTCAGGTCTTGATGCCTCAGTAAAGATTTACAGGCATAGGCACTTAAGGGCAAAAAGAGATCAAGAGAGAGAACATTCCATGAAAGTCAGATCTCTATATTCACACACAATCTCTAACCAAACACTATGGTAAATTACAAAAGGTTTTAAGTAGGCAACATTATCCCTTACCAGTAGAATGGAAAGCGTGCTGTTAGATCACGTAGGTTATAGTGGAATTTAATTTTAATTCAAGACTTTGAAGGTTACCAGTGCTTTCTACAGAAGATGTATTTTTCAGAGGCTGAGTAGGTTTGTATTGGGCCTATCCCAACAGGTTTGAGCCATGCCGATTTTTACTGTCCTCAGCTCCCTGTTAAGGAAAAACACCATTTATTCCAAAATTAACTTTTTCTTCCTTCATTGTTCTACATTTCTTCCCAGATTTACAGGTACTGGCATTCAGCCAGATAACCAGAGAATGAAACCTAGTGTCAATTACTACTCCTTTCAACACATGCCATTACAGAATCTAACCAAACTTTAAAGGCTACTAATACCGTGGAGGTTTCTCTTTCTACTGTACCACACCAAATGCTGATGTGCAGCAAGCATACAGTTATCTTCCAAACTCAGATATGAGTTTGAAGCCCGGCTCAAGTTAAGTATCAGATTTTTGATGGCTATGAGATAGCAGACTCAAATTTAGGAAGCTCTAGACACATTTTCATTCATCCCAGAAAACGTTTGCTCCACTTCACCCTGATTTCTGTCAGTGCCTTTTGGTCATACCAAGATACTCTCTCCCCTTTATCCCAGAACTTGTCTATTGACAGCACTACTGCAAGCCATAGACTCAGTTAAAATGCAAGTCTTTCTGCTCCTTATCTACTTCCTAACACTTTCGTATTGGTTATTACAGCAAAGTAAAAGAACATCATCTTCATTAGATTTGCTGTCCAAGTATTTCTCTATAGGATAACAGCTAGGTAGTTATTTATTATCAGTCTTGGTCCTGGCACACTACATACTCTCCCCTTAACGTGTCAGAGTCCTCAGCTCTAGTTACCCTCTCTGGAGGTATCCATGACAGAGTCACAGTTACAGACTTGAAATTGTATACATAAGCAACTCAATATAGCTCTGCTTCTATTTAGCAAAATGACTCTTTTTCATAACATGACTTGTAGAAAAAGAGGGAGACAGGTCTCAGCTTCTGCCAAGAGGATTATATTCCTTTGATTCTTTTTATTTTATATATTTTTTATTCTCTCTGCAGATGACAGTCATGTGACCAAAGTACCGGCAGGAAAAATTTACCCAACGGGAGTGTAAATGACATTCTTCAGACTGCTTTGGGTATGGAGAGCTCCCAAAACTGCCTTTGGAAATAGCACAGGCAGCATTTCCACTGATGGGAGTAAATGAAATCAGCTGCATTGTGCTGCAGCCATCCAGTTTCCTCTTTGGTTGCAAGTACTGGCATGAACTATGATAAGCCTCCGATAGTGCTTCATTGAAATCAAAGAACTGAGACAGCTCTGACTTATTAGTATTCTGCAAAACAGTGGTGACTGATTTTTAATTTAAAAAAAAAGAAGAGGGAAAAGGTGATAAAAATCTTATATTTAAAAGTGTGCTTTCTGTTTACAGGAGGCTTTATTACTCCTTGATGACAAAGAAACCATTAGGGTCTCCAAAAAATTTCACTGTGTGTTTACAACATTAGATTCTTCTTCCAGTAAATATCATATAATTTATCTAGCTCATCTTAAAAAACACCACACATATTTTAATGCCTATGAAGGATGTTGGCATGATAGTAGGAACTAGAAGGTCCTCCTTCCAGTCAAGAAGTACAGTCTGCAGATCTGGAAAGACCCCTGTGACCATACTCTCCACAGCCCATTTACAGTCTAATAGTGTTATTTTTGGATGCAGTCTTGATTTCTATTATAATCCAACCTACCACTCCTGTTCCTAAACCAAACTGCATGGGTTGGGTTTTGCATATAATGCTCATCCCAATCCATACCCCTCAGAACAGTGCAGGCAGTGCCCGTGCTTTCCTGCACTCAGCCTTTTAGCTTTACATGATGACAGAAGGTGGCTGTATATTGTGATCCCTCTCCCAGCCTGTGGCTGGACTTAACTGTGCTTATTTTATATATATATGTGTGCAAAAGGTAGTACCGAGAAAAGACATCAACAACAGCAAAGCAACATTAGAGACTTAAAACCCCTTAGTGCTCCGTGTATGAGCGATCTAGTTAGATGAAAGTTTCAGACAGTCAAGTGATGTAAGCTAAAACAGGTCATAAAGCAACATATCTCCTACGTCAAATGTTTTCACATATTAGAGATGACCTTGCATAATCCACTCATCTTTGGCAGATATAAGCAGAAAAAGCATTCACAAGCAATCATTCATGAACACTCCTGCTGTTATGCATCTTCTCTGACAAATACAAAAAACTGACTACATGATCAGATATTTCACATACAAAATGGTACTATACATATCATCGCAAGCACACTTGGAAAAAGCAATAAATAAGAAAACCCTGGTGATACAGTAGGCCTAGAATAGCCCTATGACAAAGAAATGGCTTTCTAAAAGCCTTTACAAGGTCTGCACAGACTGTAAATGTTCGGTATAAAAATAAACAAAAAAGATATTAAAATATGACACAGTAAAAAATTTTAAATAGAGGGGACCTGGTAACAAATACAAGCTGTTCCCCTTCACAAACACAGGCTGAAAATTGGAACTTTGTCATCAATCACTTTTTGATTAAACAAAGTATTTTAGTTGAGCTGAAACAAAACTTTGTTTGACATGGAATAGCTTAGGGTTTTATTGCTTTCATTTAAATTTGGCAATTGAATTTATAATCCTCATGGTGAGAGAAAACATTAGTGTTGTGTTTTAGTTTTTAAATCTAAACTCTCTGTGTACCAGGAGGATAAGGTTAACAGTCAGTGGCTTTTAGCCATGAAGTCTGCAGAGACAACATATCAACCAACTACTCACTCCCCCTTTTTTCATCTTTGATATGCTTTATCATGGTAGCAATAGTTTTGTGAATTGAATAATTCAAGATCACCAGAGCCTGTTACCAAAACTTAAAAGTGGGTGTAGTTTTTCTTCGTCTGCAACAATGGCGAGACAATGACAATATCATCGGAATCGTCTGAGTGAGCTTCATCCACAGACAGAGAGGGAGTAGGCTGTGATTGCTTTTCAGAGGACCTGGCTGAAATAATTACAAAAGGAAACAAGGTCATCAATAAACAACATTGACAAAAACAAGCCCTTGTGGGAAGTGCAATATTCTGTGAGCCATTAACTTTCCAGAATTACCTACAGTTATGAATAACTCTGATCTATCTTTTTCTGCATATAACTATTCTTGTTCCTCTCTAATGAAAGAGCATGCATGGCAAGCATTGACTTGACATACTGACCACACATGATTTGTCTTACTCTCTTTAAATCTTTGCAACTGGTTACACACCACAAAGTAAAGCAATTCGATACTGAAGCCATCTCAGGTTGTAAAAATAAGTATTTATTAGATGGCCAGAAAAAGAAAAATTGACCCAAGCAAGCTTAAGCTAAGCAGAAAGGTCATAATGAGAACTTCAGTCAGATATAGATAAAGGAAAATCAGTGAGGAGAAAAAAAGAATGGAAACTCTCAGTGACTCTTTCATCCTTGTATCTGTAAAATACCCAAAAATATTATTCACATGCTGTACTACCTTATTTAATGACAATAAAAATGGTGACGACACCATGGAGTGTGGGGTTTTTTTGTCTTCTGCTGCTTTGCTGTTTTTCTGGATGCATGGTTCTGTGCATCTCAATTCCAACATCTGAAGAAACGTTCAGGACATGAACAGATAGAACCCTAATGATTCCAGTAAATACATGAAAATCAGAGGGATAAAATGGATACATACAAGACTCCTAACATCTGATGAGCAGAACCAGCAGCTTGTATCCCCTCTGCAAGAGATCTATGAACTAAACGATGACAGCTATTAATACCTTCTCACACAATATCCTCCCTCCAGCTAATAATACCTCCTAGAACAATATTCTCCCCTCAGCTCCACTTGTTTTACAGTTTCAAATATCAACTCTCTGAAAAGACTATCTCCCAGAAAAGAGAACAAATCAAGAAGACCTGTGGTAAAAAGAGGAAATAGGCAAGTGAGAAGCCACATACCGAGACTTTGACACTGAAATGGAAGAGAAAATGGAGGGCATTCTCTCCATTACTTGGGGAGAACAACAGGTTTCTGACACAGAAAAAAGACCTCCCACCATGGAAGAGGAGGCATACACAGCAACTGGAAAGTGGAATAAAGAAAGGAGACCACAACCAGCCCAGAAATAGAAAGAGAGTGACAGAGAGCCTGTGAATGGAAAGGAGGAATGCAGGGAGGCCATCACATTGACCTCAACCTACAGAGGCAAAGAAACACGTGACTTTCTAGTTAAGTGAAATTATTCTCTGCATCAGTCAACAAGTAATGTAACAGTTTTTCAGGAAGATTTATGAGCCAGTAATACTGGTGATAAGGACGAGCAAAGAGAATTTCCAGAAGCAGGCATGGTAACCAGAAGATGGAACTCCAACAATAACCAGATAGTATATATGAAATCGCTTAATATTGTCCAAATCACTCTTGATTATATCCTGCTCTTGATGTCTGAGATTTTCTTGTCCTCATCTTCAGCTTAATATACTTCAGAGTGACAACTTTATCTTTGTGCTTGTGAAGGGGTAAGCACTGATTAGAATTAAGGGTTGTATGTAAATTTATTGTGATTTCAAAAAAGCCTCAAATTAACAGTTGTATCTAGAGTGGCTAGTAATATGCAGAGAGAAATACTGCCCTTATTCAAGATTGCTGTGCATGTACAGAACATATTCTTCCATCCTGCCACTCCCCTGACAGAAAGAAACAAAATGCTAAGTTTCACAGACTGAATTGTTATTATCTGTTCCATTTCATGGGAAGCAGCAGAAATGGCTTTACAAATCTCCAAGTGCTGTCCAGATTCTGAAGACAAGCAAAGCAGCATTGAATCCTACACCACTTTTGCTTTTTTTTTTTTCAGAAAACACAGACACATCTAACCTGCTGCAAACAATGAATTAAAAGCCTGCAATGCTAGACCAAGATTATATAAATTTATTCTAGCAGACATATAAGGTTCTTTAAAACACATTTTAATCTTTCCCATTCCTCTCAAAATAATGCTGAAAGGCTAGTGAAATTAAGTGATTTACTGCAATATATACTTGGACTGAAAGTCTAATATCATTGCAAGATCTAGAGGTCATGAAATGCAAGTTTGAACTTGGGACAAAGGAAGCAAGAGCTTGTTCAACAGCTGCATGATTTAAAGCTAAAGGAATGTCATTGCTTTAAATTACTCAGCTGTTAAACAAGCTCCTTGTCTCATGTACTTTCCAAGCTGCAGGATGACCAGTGAAATAGATTACATCAAAACCCAATTGTGCTAGTGGATTTTTACATCAGCCATGAGCTAGGAATGACAGATGTTGGACTTTTAGTTAACTTTAACCTGTTTAAGCTACGTGAATTCAAATGGCAAAAAAACCCTGCTATAACCGGACTGCCAAAGGATCAGATTTCTTCGTAGAGGTTGCATCTACACCTGAATGTTCTGCTTCCTTTAGTACGTTCTTCACGATTTATCTTTTGGGAAAGTTTGGTTAAACCCTTCAATGCACCAAGAGCTAATGCTTCAGAGTTACTTAGTGCAGGACAGTCTTTTTCTGGCAGTTGTGCAGTTACAGAAGCACATATCCAGTATGCCTCTTCAGAAGCTACCTAGATACATTCTATCCTTTTCTCAGAATTTGAAAACATCTCCCATATTCCTGAGATCAGCAGCAAATATAACCTGCTTTGCTCCCAACCTCTCCTATTCACCAGAAAAGGACTGCAAGGAAGAGAGTTTGAATGCTTATGGTCTCCTCTCTATCCTTTCTGATATAAATTCTTCCAGAACTTCTTCACTCATCACTTTGTCATCATAATCTGCAATAAAAGTTAGCTTTGGAGACTTCATACCTAGACAGTGACTGTGCTCAATTAGTGTTCATACTATTACATTTACCAGAGTAACTTTATCTTACATCCTTCTTTGGCTCTTAGAAGCACTTCTTCAGAAGCATAAAGCATTATTTTTTAAGTGATTCTTTCTCTTTGGGCAGAATTTCACAACTGATTTACCCTGGGTTTAGACAGCATAGCAGTAACGACTGCTGCAGTAGAACCCAGGCAAAACTGGATGCTGCAGCTTTTTTTTCTGGATACTTTCACTAGACATAACTAAAATCACTCAAAACTGTAACATCTTCAGAAGCAATTACTACCTACTCCTTCACAAAGTAGAATACGCTCCAGAATATGGAATACAGTGAAGTTTCTTAAAGATACTTTCCTTTGCTGAAGGGTAACTTCTGTATTCACTACCCTTGCAAGTCTGGCTTATTCCCCATCTCATATCTTAGCGAAACAGCCTCAGCTGCTTACAGCACACTCTGTTTCTGAGCAAGTCTGCAGGGACTGTCAGCTTTTCACTGACAAAAAAACAATTTAATGTTTCTCAGGTCACCCTCAAAGTTGCTCTTTTTTTCCTCCAGCTGGTCCATAAAAGCCTAGAACATCCCACTCTGGATAGAACCAACCTTTTTCAGTTTGTTTTTAACTCCTTTGAAGCTGCACGTCCAAGGCTGTCTTATCTGCATTGTTTTTCCTTCCCTACTCCGTACTTCTAACATCCTCCTAAAGCCTCTTTGGCTTTAACTCCTCAGAAGCAGCACTAAAGAATTCAAGAAGGAAACCAAATGGCATAAAAGCTATAAAAAAAGAAAGACATTTTCCCAGTTTGCATTATACTAGTACTAGTTGGCAAAGTTACCCAGGACTTTGTTTTTCCCCTTGCTGCAGCAACTGAAGACTGCTGAAAAAACGTGACTAAATACACACAGCTGACTAGGACGGTTCTTTTTACCAAATGTCTGTCCCCTTTGCAAATCAAGTCAGGATGGTGAAAATGCTCTCGGCTTGTCTATGGCTTTGGGCCCAAAACGTAGTGAAAAAGTACCATACCGCAGCTACAGGGCTGGGGGGATTGAAAAGGAAGTAGAGGCAATGCAGGGGAACATCATGTTCCTTGAATAATTACCACGCCAGAGAGAGACCTTCCAAACCACAGTTGTGACAGATAGGCAAAGCACTGTGGGGAAGCTGGTGCTGATACTATCAAAGTTTTTATTTTTTATTTAAGGGACTGCACTTGCCAGTATAAGCAACATCATCAAATTAAAACATGACACACACAGAGTACAAGTATGCATTTGCACATGTGTGCGCATGTGCAGATGGTCTCTATAAAATTGTGTGTGCACCCGCACAAAACTGACATACTTTTGAACACAGAGGGAAATGAGATTACCAGGAAGAGATGACATGAAGATTGAAGGAGGTCTCTGGAGGGCGGCTGAGACCGGTTTCTTCCCTGTAATGTAAACTGCAGGATCTGCTTTCTCACTTGGTGCACTGGACACAGAGGGTCTGCAAAAAGACATACTGCACAGCACGAGGCACAGAACAGGACTTGCAGTCTGTCTTCAGAGGGTATGCTGAAAAGTTTCTTTGTTGCTAGCCTCCAAGAGATAAAAGCTTATCACCTGCAGAAGTGAACTCACATACTGAAGTGAGGTGACAAGTAGGTAATTCTCCCTGTAACCATGACAGCTCATATTAAAGACTTTTGGAACAGTAAGCCCGGGAGAGAAAGGAAGTATTTTTCAAGGCAGAGTCACCACTAACCTAAGCAGTAAGCAAATTGCTGCATTCTTCCTAAGTCACTAGGCTGTATGCACAACAGTATTCTAGCTCTTCCCTGTTCTTCTTCCACATAACCCTTAACTTTTACATGTCAGGGCTTCAGATTCACTTATATTAAGTGAGTGTACCAGCAATCAATTTGATAGCAACTGTAAATTTTTTTTAGTTTGTTTGTTTGGGGTTTTTTTCCCCAAAGAGTAATTATTTTACTTTACTTTTCCTCATTGCTATGGAGGAGAACATGCAACAGGATATGGGAAGACTACTGCTGCAACAAGAAACCCTTTCATTTGCATACTCTGCATTTTCTCACGAGCAAGCTCTCCCTTGTCCTTGTTGGAACAAGGGCCTTGTTCTCCTTCTCTGCCAAGGAACCCACACTAAAATTCTATAAAGTATGACCCCTCTCCTGTAATAAAAACAATTTTGCTACTGCATGTTGCAGAAATATCTATTTTTCACTTACTTCTCCTCAAGCAGTACTGTACGTGCTAAGTGAGCCCTGAAAATGGACTGGATGAAAGTCACAATCTCGTCTTTCTTCTCACAATCGGAAGACAAGCTCAAGGAGTTTGACACAGGAGACATGCAGGAGCTCTGCAAAGCAATCAGATTAAAGAAAACTGACCTTTTACAGATTGCACAGAAGCTTGACAGAAGCTTTCACAATTTTATTCCCGATTGTGAAAGTAGTAGGAGAGCAAATATTCCCATCTTTTGGTCTGCAGTCTTTAAGCTTCTATAAGAC